ACGTTCGAGATTAAATACTCGTTAGGATAATTAAAAGTTGAATGGAGGAGTGAAAAACGGGGGGATAGCCGTGGTGTGCTGCACGTTTGTATACGAAGGAGTCAGTTAATCCACCGACAAGCAATATCGGAGCAGAGTTGATAATGAGCTTCCCCATTGACGCACGATGTTGCCGATCATTACTCTTGCCTACAGATATCTATCGATGATCCCGCGCTAACTAGGCAGCCTGCTGATACCTAAAGCGCGTTCCTCATTTGCCATTCATTCACGAAAATAGGTTACTCACAATTGCGACAACCTCCATCCTCGTTCGCGACATGGTGTACTATAGAAAAGGGTTACACGAAGGGAGAGATAAGCGTTTAATACGTGATTAAATCTGTAGTAGACTTGTGAAAGGAAGGGTCCTTTGGAAATCGGGGAACAGTGCTTTTTCAGAAAGTTTCTGTTCATGAATTGTCGTTGATTTTGAGGTTTAATTTGAACTGGAAATTAGAATTTTTCTGTGGAATTTGGAAACGCCAGTTTTTGGTATCTTTGAGGAGAATACTGTACAGAAGGTAAACTAAAGTCAATTATTTCAGAATATTGCTCCTTGAATTTTGGACATAATGAAAATCGCCACTTTCTCAAATTTTGTTTCGCAGATTGTCGCCAATTTTAGTGTTTTAAAAAAAAATAATATTTAATTGAAATTAGAAGTTACAATTTTTCTGTGAAACTTAGAAATGCCATTTTTCAATATTTTTAAGGAGAGTACTATGCAAAAGAGAAACCAAAGTCAAATGTTTCGAAACATTTCTTGTTGAATTTTGGACACGATAAAAATCGCCACTTGCTCAGATACTATTTTAAGCGATTTTGCAACAAGTGTACTAATTTAACGAAACAAAAAAAGTTGACATAACGTTTTACCGCTTATTGTAAACAAACATGTTCTGGAACTGTTTAAACAGGGTAGCATAATCTCCCAGAACCGTTTCATCGTGGATTCACGTTCCGCCGAGCATAAATTAACCAAGAAGACGCACCAAGACTGTTTTCCAAGCTGATATATGTATGTATACATATAGAATGGTGGACTGCGTTACTTGGATAGTTGCCTGATTGCCTGAATTCGACGCGTTCTCTAAATCATAGAGTTGATCCCTCGTACGTGAAAATGTACGTTAACATCCCTGCAGCAAATTAATCACAAGCTGTGCCGCTGTCGGTGTACCATAAGTCTCGTGAATTTATTTAGCGTGCAGCATACGTTGGTTACTAAATTTTTGACGACATCGTTACTTACTCTTGCCATGCCAATTGTTGAAATTTTATACAACTGTTGCGTCATATTTATTCAACCGTCTGAGTTGAATAAACGTCTCCATTATTGCTGTTACGTCTCCATTATGGAGCTTAAGTTTGACAGAAAGGGTTTTCTTTCGGAGACTTATCGATCGATTTGTCACAATTTGATTTAGAGGCAATTTTGTCATGCTTATTTGGCTGTATATAAGATAGATGTATCTGTATGGTATGGACTTACAACAACCATGATATCTGCAGTCATTTTTCTTTTGTTTAAAATAAATTGGACAATTTTGTTACATATGCTGTTAGGCTATTTCTGGGAGAAAATTTTTGGGGTGATTCTACGAGCCAGAATAAGACGAAAGTGAAGAATGAAAAAATTGCGTTTGAGGCTTCGTTTTTTAGTTATTAACAATTAAAGATATCCCTGTGGTCGAGCAACCCTCACACACCAGCGTATATACGGCGGTCAAGGCACAGGAGCGCAGCGATTCTCAAAACAAACGACACAAGGCCGGCATCTTACTTCGTACAAGTCGTAGAGAAGTAGGCAGGACATTTGGCGCTGTAAACGACATCACCGACTTCTGGGGAACTCCCGTTTGCTTCACCACGACACAGGTGCACGTCGAAAAGTTCTTCAAATGTGTAATCGATCGTGTACTGTAAACGCAACGTACACTATGCACACTGCTTTACTTCGAACTGTCGTAAAAACACTATTTTCACAATTAAAGTAAATATATCATTGACTAAATCTTCCGGAAACACTTCTTCTTTTCTGTTTTTCGATTGTTCGATAAGAATAAAAGGTAAAAGTAAAGAGATGAAAAGTATAAATAAATCTGTATTTTGCAATTCTCTAGTTGAAACGTTATTTTTAAAAATCTGAAAAAGTATCGTTATATTCGTTGAAGATTATTTTATAACCGGCCGATTTATCAACGGGACCATTAAAGCTGTGTAGTACCCGATTACTTATTTGTGGTGAGTTTTCTCTGTCTTATAAATTTTTTGCATGCCATTCATTTGGAAATTAGTGTCGCAACGAGCCATTAAATATCATCTTGCGCCCCAATTCTCACATGTACTGTAGGAGGCCAAAGCTCACGAAGAAGTTTTTTGAATAAAATTTCAGCCCCCTACCTGAATTGGTTCGCAAGGCAACCTTTTATGTGTCATTTGGACTTTCATTTCCAAATGAATCGTATGCAAAAAATTTACATGTTTTAAAAATAAATTTCAGAGTATAATGTTTTTTCAGATGTTTAAAAATATTTGACCTACGCAACTGCAAAATAGGAATTTATTTGTAATTCCCGAATAATAAAAATAACTTTCTGTTAATAAAAAAAAAAGGTAGAGAAAGATCAAAGGTACAATTTTAAACATACGATTAATCATTTTGCATCGAAAATTACAATTTTTATATTTTTAGCTAAATTTTAGCGAATCTATTGCAGATGGATTGCTAAGGTTCTCTTCACAGACGGGAACTTATTCGCACTATGTTAAATTACACT